GTAGGTTGCCCTTTCATTTTGTTGATGGTTTTTGTTTTGCCGTGCAGAGCTTTTTAGTTTGGTTTGATGGAGTCCCGCTTGTTTATTTTTGCTGTTGTTGCTTGTGCTTTTCATGTCATATCCAAAAAAATCATTGCCAGTGTTTTATTCTTAAAAGGATTTTCTGACAGGCTGGTGCCTCTTCCTTATCTCTAAATTGTCTCTTCCTTCTGAGGTATATTTTAGCATTTTAATATTACCTCAGGACCAAAAATATTATTCTTTTTTTCTTAAGATGAACTTTTAATTAATTGATTATTTTTATTTTTTTTATACTAGAAAGGCACATATTCAAAGAGTGAAATAGTTCTATTGGGTTTATTATACTCCTCCCTGAAATAACAGTCCTTAGTACCTCTACTGTATTTTTTCTGTTTCAGAAGTAACCACTTTCACCTGTTTTATTTAGCTAATTATCTGATATATATATATATATATATATATATATGTCCATGTTGTTCAGTAAGATGCATGATTGTTCTGGGTTGATCTTCCCACTACGGCAGATAAGGATTTAGCTCTCTCCACCCTACCATCACACACATACCCCCTGCCCCAAATCCTATCTTCCCGATATAATTAATATCATAACCTTGATTAGAACAGTATTCTTTATTTATATTATTATATCTATGCTATTAAAAGCTGAGTCTTGCACAACTTTGATTACATTATTATTTCTGTACAACGTGTTTGTTTTTCATGGGGTTAATCATTGTGTTATTGTTTGTTTTTCCTTCTGGGTTGGTTTTTCTAAGTATTTACCAACCCCAAAGGCTTTGAAAGTTGTTTAAATCTGCTAAGATGCTCAAATACATCAAGTCTTCTATCAGTTTTCTCCTCCTGAAGCAGTCTCTCTCCGGGCTCTGAAGGTGCTCTGAAGAGCGGGGTTGCTCTCTCTGCTGGGCCTATAGCCGGCTCCTGGGATCGCCCTGCTCCATTATTCTACAGGTTCCCTGTGCTTCTCTCGTGTATTGGCTTGTCTGCCTTCCTCTTGGTTTACTATATCTTTTTGAAGCATATTTTACGTACTTAAGTAGCTTCTAGAGAATAGAATACGTGGGAGGTGAATTTTTTGTGAAACTGCATGTCAGAAAATGTCCTTATTATATGTGATTTTTTTTCCTCTTTCTGGAAGCTTGTGGAATCTTGTCTTTGTCCCTAGGGTTCTGAATTTCATAACGATGTATCTCGATGTGGATTGATTTGTATCCAGTGTCCTGGGTGTTATGTGCCCTCTGAAGTTGGAAGCTCATGGCCCCTTAAACTTGGGGAGATTTCCTCAATTTTTTTAATTGATGCTTTTTCCCCTTCTATTTTCTCTGTTGTCTTTTTCTGAAACTTCTATTACTTGGATATTGGACCTGCTGAGAGGGTTTCTATTTTTCCCTCTTTTTTTTCCCTTTTGCTCCACTTTCTGAGAGACTTCACCAGCTTTATATTCCATCTCACACCTTTATTGAGTTTTTCTTTTTCTTCTATCATGTGTTTCATTCTCTTTACTTTGGAATGCTCCTTTTTTATATGATACTATTCTTATTTCAGTACGGCAATACTCAGCTCTTAGTGTTTGGTGTTCTTTGAAGTTTTCTTCTTGTATGACCATTGACCTTCAACTTGCTTGTTTCTGTTTGGTCTCTCAGTGTCACAGCAGGGGCTTTCTAGAGGTCCTGGAGGTACTTGATTTGTCTGTAGGCATTTAGGAACGGGGGACTAAAATGCTGATTGGAAGCTCTGAGTGCCTGTGTAGGGCTTCTCAACCATGAGCTTCACCATAGGCTGATCATAGGACACCTCCCACGTGAGTCTCGTTAGTTGTCTGCTCTTGGGCTGTTCAGTGTTTTTTTCATTCCTCTGCCTGGAGGGTAAAAGCCTGATTGCCTGCATTCTGGGAGCCAACTAAGAGAAGATGGCTGGTGGTCTCAGCATCTGATATGCATATGTTCATTTAATCCCATTCATTTGCCCTCAACTGTGCTGTTTTCCCCCTCCTCCCCCTCACACCGCCCCCAGTCTAGAGGCCTTCTCTTACTCTCTGTATAAAATGAATCTCCAGTTATTTACTGGGGCTTTGGGGGATGGGGAAATAGCCCACATTAGGGGTAGAGTTACTTAAAAATAAAAATATATATAAAAAAATCCCTTTACTATCCTTCATTTGGTTTTGGGAGGAAACAAACGTAGCCTCCTGTGTGCAGCCTTCCATTTGTACCTAAAAGCCTCACCATTGCTGTTTATTTACTGATGCCCAAGTGACTGAAGCTTTTAAAAGGGATATTCAGTGGCCCATGGTAAATGCTACAAAGTATCCTTCAGAGAAAGAATGACCAGACCACAGCCCTTTGATTAAGAGAATTCGGTTAGTCAACATTTTTCTTTTAAACCGAGGCTGTTCAGAAGATTTAGTTCCTCACCCACAACTCCTTTCCTCTTCTTTCATCTGCACCCTCCCTGCCCCCACAGCCTCTCATTGTGTTGCCCAGTCCAAATTGAAGTTCTTGTGGGGCGACCTTGGGGAGGCATCAGGTTGCAGAGGATGAGGTAGTGAAGGGAAGGTGAAAAAACGAGGGAGGTGGGCTCAGGGCAGCACGTCGTGTGGGATCCCTGTCATGCTTTTATCCAGACTGCTGTGACTGCCTCTGCCCCCTTCTTACTGGCTGGGGGTCAGAGCCGCAGTGCTCTTTAAAGCCATGGCTTCTTTTAAGCTCAGTAGAAACTACACACATCACTGGACTGGCTCAAACATCACCGGATTTGGTTATCTTTTTAAAGAGGAGCGTGCCTTCAGCTTCTTAGCTGTGGGGAGAGTGATGTGAAGCGTAGCCGCTCTGACTCCAGAAACAGGATGACCTTAGAAGCAAGCTGGAGAGCATGGTTTCTGGTAGTTCTGAGCCTGCCCTTCTATATTCCTTCTTTAAATATCTCCTCTAGTGACTTCAAAACTTGATGTCATGTCATACGTATTCAAACTTGATATCATATGTTTTCCCCTTATGTTTAAATCTTTGTTTCCTATTTAAAATTTTGTTTCTCTTTTCTTTTCTTTAAATCTTTCAGCAAGTATTTATTGAGCAGCCATATCTGCCAGGTCCTGGGATCGACACAGTCCCTGCCCTCATGGGCTTAGGTCCTGGCAGAGGCCCAGTGCAAAGCCTTGGCCTGGTGGGATGGGGCAGTGGGAGGTGCAAAGGGCAACAGATGCTTCCTCGTTTTGGGCAAAGAGGCCCGGGGATGTGAGGAGCCGCGGCCCGAATGAATCCCAGTCATGCCCTTTCCAGGGAAGAGGGCTGACGTCTCCCTGCTGAGTCCATGCAGCCATTAAAATTTTGTTTTTTATTGGAGGAGTTCTGTAATGTATTTTTTTGGATCTAAGTTAGTAGAGTTTCAGGGGATAATAAATAATGACCCCTCCACCTTCCTGAGTTCAAAATTAGTTGAGAGACAAAGAAGACAAGCATAGGGAGATAAAAATCTAACCTTTATTATTGATTTTTACGGGTAAAACAAATTGAAAAAGGCCATGTTAGGTCTGCTGGCCAGTATGGGCATGTTACTATTTCGCCCCTGTATTTGACATCTAATCCACTCACTGACCAAATTGGACAATCATAGGCCATGAGTATCTGACCATCTAAAACCTTTAACAAGACTGAGAGGAATAGCTCCTGCAAAGGAGTTAGTAAGGGGCTGAAAGAGAGGCTAGAGGTATTCATGTAATGGAAGTTCCCTCCATGGAACATGAGGAGAGGAGAAGTGTGTTCCATACATGGGGAGATATCAGTTTCCCTGAAGGCACACCATCAATTTATAGCAGATGCTCAGGAAAAAAAAAATACTGTATTAGATCAGGTTGTATGACACATTCAGATTTCAGAAACATTAAAAGCATTTTGCCATCTTAGAAGTCAGGAAGGATAGTGTTATAAGCTATCAATTGTTTGTTCTTTCGGTAAACACCTTCACTACGTTTGGCCTGAGTGGTGTGCACACCCTCAGCTGGGGCAGGGAGCCCCTGCTGAAATTCCAGGCCTGTTACAAACTAGCTGGGAGTCCTTGGCTCCCCTGAACCTCTCTAGGCCTGGTTTTCATCTGCTCAGTGAGGAATGGGAGACCAGCCCAATACATGAACAGATAAAAAGGATGAGGGATAAACCTAGGCTTCCACAGCTAATTAGTTTCAGAGTTGGGACTAAAACCCAAGTATCTTCCATCCCTAGTCTCACTGTTCTCTACCATATCCAGTTCAGACTGATTCTTAAATTGAATATATACAAAACAGTTTAGCACCACAGAAGCGATCATTCATTTGTTCATTCATTCATTTATTTATTCGTTCAACAGAGCATCTTTTTTTGTGCCAAATACTGTGCTAAGCAATAAGTATGAAGAAAACATGTTCTTGGGGTGCCTGGGTGGCTCAGTCGGTTAAGCGTCTGCCTTCGGCTCAGGTCATGATCCCGGGGTCCTGGGATCAAGTCCCGCATTGGGCTCCCTGCTCAGCGAGGAGCCTCCTTCTCCCTCTCCCTCTGCCTGCAGCTCCCCCTGCTTGTGCTCTCTCTCTCTCTGTCAAATAAATAAATAAATAAAATCTTAAAAAACAAAAAAGAAAACATGTTCTTGTCTCTCTAACAGCATGCATCCTGTGCCCTTACGTGTTTGCAGCCCTTATGTGACCACCTCAAGTACGACCCTTTACTTATAGCCTCACTTGAAGCGCTTCAAACTGACCCCAGGTCTTCAAGGAGATACAGACCTCCTTGGCTGCCCTGAAACCGTCAGCCCTCTGTGCTCTCCCCGAGACCTACAGTGATGCCCCTGCGGTAGATATGACCCATCCCCAAGAATAGCTCGTACCATCTTAGCACACAAGTTCTTCAAGTGCCTAAAGAGAAAAGCTACAGAGTGAGGTCCAGAGCCGTGCACTGGCCTCATTATGGTTGTTTCTCTCCTTCTGTTTCTAGGGTGCGCAAGCTGGCATTACTATGTAACCATGCCAATGCCAGCCTCCACCTTCACGATCGCAGTGGGCTCCTGGACAGAAATGAAGCCAGAGCCCTGCTTGTTCAAGGATCTGGCAGCAGAGAGAGCCCTCTCACCTTCCGAGGCTGACTTCAGGTTGGTATTTGGGAGCTTGCTGAAAAACAAACACTTAAGGGAGCAGTATGATGCATTTATTCCAAGCACTGGGAATGTGAGTCATCCCTGCTGAGAAGCTAAACCAAAATATGATTAATCAAAGCAAGAAAAACCCTACTGGGAGGGAAAGAGAGTTGAGAGGCAGAAATGTGGGCATATTGTTTATGCAGAAAGAAAGAGAAAAGAAGGATATATGAAGTCCTCTGTGAAGTCAGGTGAAATATTTTTATGTGTTTGGGTATGTCAACAGAATCCTCAGATTCAACACTTTCCCTCCTATACTTTTTAACTTTGGTTTTCAGTGCTTATTTGGTCAAAAACACAACTTAATGAAAAGGAGTTGCTTGTCTGTTGGATTACTTTGTAGGCCACTCTGCTGTTTAGGTCCCCGGGACTGCTGTTAGCAGTACATTTGTAGGGTCAGCCCTCCTTCAGTGGGGCTAGTCAGCCTGCTCCGAGCTCAGGACACAAGGTAGCTGTTGCAAGGTCATGGGGCAACGAGTAACCTACTGGGTCAGGACTCCATTAACTTTGGTAGTGGTTTCTTCTTTTTTCAGAATGATCGGAGAAAAATCTGTTTAAAGTTTTTAAAAAGCAGCACAGACCATTAGATATTCACTCACAGCCTCCCCACACGTCCAACTGTTTCTAACTTTGAGAGCCAAAAGGGAGGAGGGGAATGTCCATAGGAGGTACAAAGTGTCCAAATTGTGCATCATTGCATCATGTTCATTCCTAGGACTTTTACACCCAGCTCAGTTTAATCACTTTTCCTGTTTACACAGAGTCACTAGGTCCATTACCTTCTGGTGGAGAAAGCCCAGAGTAATGGTACAGATGGCTAGTTCATCCTTGAAAACCAACTAAGATACGCTTTTCGTGCAGATTCCTTTTGTGCCGGTTATATTTTGCCATGTTGCTTTCACTCTTACTGCAGTGGCTGCAGTGATGGTTGGTACTGTGAGGACGGAAAGCCACTGAGCCCTCTCCTATGACAGGCATGTCTTATTGCTTGTGTTTTGCTTTTTGGAGGAAGGGAGGTAGTTTCCACTTCCTGCTTAGTAACTTGCCTATTGTGGACTATCTCCCCTGAGCTATACAGAGTATCCGAGGTTGCTTCTTGGATTTTATTTATGCACGCTTGAGGGAAGAGGAGAGTTGTGGACAGAAGTGACACGTGTTACTTTCATGTGGGGATGTTTAATTGCATGTGAGACCCTCAAGTGATCCTTCCCCTGCCACTGAGCTCAGAATAGGCCTCATTTTGCAATTTCGGGTAGCCCAGATTTCTGCGTGGGAAGGACAGGTGCCCTGGAGAGTTACTTGGATCCTCAGTGGACTTGTTATGAGCAAGAAATAAACTTTTTTTTTTTGTTGTTAAGCCGCTGAAACACTGGGGATGTTTGGTATTGCAACATATCCTAGCCTGTCCTGAATTGATACAGAAGTCACTGGATGTTTGAAGTCAGGGAGTCTTGATCTAAATGTCATCTTGGTTAGTCCTGAGAGTAAGCCTATAAGATAGATAGGCTTTATTATCACAATTTTATAGATAAAGATACTGAGGCTTTAGACAGCAATGTGTCCGTGTTCGTATCTCTACTGAGTTTCAACACCTGGATTCCTATCTGGGCTTGACTCCTTACGGAGGTGATTCAGAATCTTACCTGGGGACATTGGGTTTTTTTTGTTTTGTTTTTTTAAGATTTATTTATTTATTTTAGAGAGAGCGCACAAGCGGGAGGGGCAGAGGGAGAAGGAGAGAGAATCTCAAGCAGACTCCACGTGGAGTCCGATGTGGGGCTCGATCCCAGGATCCCGAAATCATGGCCTGAGCCAAAACCAAGAGTCGGACACTTAACTGACTGTGCCACCCAGGTGCCCCTACCTGGGGACTTTTTTTAAAGGTTTTATTTATTTGACAGAGAGAAAGACAGCCAGAGAGGGAACACAAGCAGGGGGAGTGCGAGAGGGAGAAGCAGGCTTCCCGCGGAGCAGGGAGCCTGATGTGAGGCTCGATCCCAGGACTCTGGGATCATGACCTGAGCCGAAGGCAGACACTTAACGACTGAGCCACCCAGACGCCCCCCTACCTGGGGACTTTTAAAAACTGTGTATGATGTCCATGCCTCACCTGGAGTCTGATCCACCTTCCTACCTGGAGAGTCAGTACCATGACTGAGTGACTGTTACTGATTGAAATGTGTCACGCTGGTACAGACGACAGAAGTTGAGAGTTCTGCCTTTGAGTGTGAAGCAGTCCGTACTGCTTGGGTAGGGTTCTCAGGGCAAAGCCATTCTTTCCTGCTCTGTGGAATAAAGACTTTGCTTGGGGTTTTCCAATTCTTCATGGTGAAGAAGCAGCCTCAGGGCTGCTTGACTGTCAGAGGAGGTATGCAGTTGAAATCCGTGCACCTTAGGGGAAGGCAAAGAAAGAAATGTGTTATTTTGTCCTTCTAGCCATATTCCCAGGGATATGAGGTTGGGGAGCGGGCAGCAACCATTTCTTATGTGTTCCTTCTGCTGCCCAGGGGCCACTGAGGTGGCTTTTCACCTTATTTGCATCCATAATTGTGAAGGAGGCGGCTGTGGCCACTTCATGTGGGCATTCTGGGAAGAGACGGCATCTGAAATTCCAGTTGGGGTTTAGGGGAAGGGGATCAGTATGACTCTTTTCTTGTCTTTTCAAGTTTGCAACCAGCTGTGAAACAGGCAGAAGGAGAGCACAGGGAAAGTTTTCATAATTGGCCTGAGCTCAGGACTGCTCGGGTGCACGACCTCAGTGGGCTTTCTAATACTCCGTTTCCAAGCCAGATAAACTGGCCCATCCAGTTACCTGCGCAGCTGGACTGCTGCTGTTCTCCACAGCACAGGTCCACGCAGGCTGCCTCATGGCCAGAAAGTACCCCATCTGTGGGCAAGCAGATTGGAAAAGAGGAAGCCCAAGAGTGGCCAAGCCGATCAGAGCAGCTGGAGCCAGGTCAAAGGTGCCACTCCAGGGAGGCACATCCTCATGTGGGAACGCGAGGCCTGGGGAATGGAGTCCTTCCCACACTCCCTTCCATGTCTGACATGCTATGACGAAGTTTCCCCTTCATTTATCACCAAGCTTGTCCATCAGAAATGTACTGCTGATAAAATAATAGCTTGCATTTGCTTAATCCTTCCCTGGCTGCGTGCTTCATGTGTGCTGTCTTTAGTCATCAGAGGGTAGCTTTGTGTTTTTATCCATTAAATCTCTGGCTGCATGCTCGGTTTGCCAACAAAGGTACTCTGAAGTGCCAACTGCAGTCGTGTTTTCGGTTATGTTCACATCTGGTTCCCTTGCCTTCCCCGCCCCCCTTTTCTACTTCAAACCTTCCTGAGACCACCAGTTCAATTCACGTAAATGTAACTTTTATAGGGGCCTTATATACCACAGGCTTTCATTTGCCTAAAGTGTTCATCTGGGTCCCAGAAATTTGGCCAAAGTATTGGTCACTGAACTTTTGATCACTGTTCATGTGGGCTAAATTATAGGAAGAATATTCCCTCTTCCAGCTCCAATTCCACACGTGTTCCGGCCCACTCTGGGTGAGCATTTTGGTAAATACATTAATTAGAAGGCATTTAGGTAAACCATTGAAAGTTTATTAATTTTCTTCGGCTGCAGCATAACCGTCTCCAGCCACAGAGGAATCTTTGTATTGTTTAACCTCTGGAGGCCTTTGTTAAAGCACTGTCTTCACTTTGGGCCCATACAGTTTAGGCACGACACGGAAACTTGGATAAAGTCCAGAGGAACTCAGCAAAAATTATTAAAAGCGTGGAAAATACGTTCCACGAAGAAGAAAAGGCATTGAGGTTGTTCATCCTAAAGAAGGGATGGCTTGGTGGGAGAAGCGGTCTTTTTGAGAGTTGTGAAGTCTATGGAAAGTGGCCTGTGGACCTTGCAGGATGAGGCCCTATTTCTGTATCTTTGAAAGGCTAGGAAAGAAGGAATGATATATAAGTCATGGGGGAAAAATACCAATTTCCAGTACACCCTTTGCTATAAGAGAAGCCTTTCCAAATCTTCCTGGCTTGGTGTGATTTCTCCAGCCCTGGCTCCCTGGTGTAGTTCAGCCTTCTGGTTTTTATAGCACATGCTGCATTTTGCTTTGTAAAATCCTAGAATGCCCTAAGGAAACCCATCCAGCTTTCAGGCACAACTGTATCATCGTATATATTGACATCATTGTCAACAACTCATTGGGGGCTGGTGCTGGCATTTTGAACACTTGTGATTTTTACCGTATCCAAGCATCTACTCTGCTTGCTAAAATATGTTAATAAATTGTCTAAACATCTTACTGTGTCACTGTACTCATCAGAATTTTAAATTTTTTCTTCCAACAAAACTGTAAACTCCTCAAAGGTAGGGTTGGAAATTTATTCATATGTCTGTACATGGCATACCTTTGGGGTGCCTTGAGTAGAGCAAGAATGCAGGAAATAATTACTAAATTGTCAGGTTGAACGGTGAAAAAAGGACATGCATTCCCAGGGGAAACTTCCAGTGATTCCTTTTGAGCCTATGACAGGGAAATGTCTGTGTCAGCTACTTTCAATACATCTCGTTCTTGAAACAAGAGGAGGGCTGAAGGAGAGAACCTCTTTAGGCAACTTCCAACCTTGTGATTCTGAGTGAAACGTGGTCACCCTTCTTCCGTGGAGAAACCTCTTGTAAAATAATTTCAGCCCAGCAATCGTAGGAGAGGGAACCAATGTTCTGGTTCCCATCATTTACCAGCCTAATATTTATTTCACCAGTTCTTCCCACTCTTGGCAATATTAATGGGCAACATTGACAAGGAGGAGCAGGAAACCAGAGAACCACAGAGCAGCTGAGCTCAGCTTCTAGAAAAATCCAGGACCCAAATTTACTCAAGAAGATTAATGCAGTATGTGGGGAAGGAAGGTCGGGAGGGAGGAGCTTATGATGACTCACGATGTGATGAAAAGAATAGTTCTTATTCCTTAGGAATGTTGTGTGGATTAATTGGGATAATGCACATGAAGTGTTCAGAACAGTTCTTGCCACATAGTAAATATTCAGTAGCAGTTGTGGGAGGAGTTATTGTTTATTATTCTTATTATCATCAGTGCAGATTATTTATAAATAACAAGCATTATTATTAATCTTAACTATTAAAATATTTACCCTGATTATAAGTGTGGGCACAGGGAATAGCGATTTGCAAATGCTTGATTCGCTGATGATACTGAGAGTAGGTTGGAGCAGGCACAGATACAGAAATGAACAGCTGAAGGTTACTGGGAAAGAAAGCATGTTTGAGTGAATTCTGGCTTCATGGAGGACTTCATGACATTAGAAACGTACAGTATTCCCTCACCACTTCAGGAACAAGGCTGTTGGCGTGAAAAGGGGCGGGGGCCTCATGTGGAGAGTTGCCATAGAATCACAGTGCCAGAAGAAACCTTAGAAACCATTTTTTGTTTTTTTTAATTAAAGTATAATTAACATACAATAAAATGCACAGATCTTAAGTGTTTGGCTTGATGAGTTTTTGACCATCGTTTACACCCTAAACTGATACAGAGAACGCTCCCACACCCAGTAAGTTCCCTCTAATCAATTCCTCCCCTCCCCGCCCCCTGCAGCCATTTTTGTGAGACCATGTTAGAGATGATGAGAAGGAGCCCCCAGGTACTGAGGGGCTTTCCTCACGTCACAGTTAGCCCGTCTGAGAACAGCCACTGAAGCCCAGCTTTCCTGATCCCGATGTCAGAACCTTTGTGTCATCTTCCCTGATGCCACTTCCATTTTTAAAAAAATTTTATTTATTTATTTGAGAGAGAGAGAGAGATCACATGCACGTGAGCAGGGGGAGGGGCAGAGGGAGAGAGAGATCTCAGACGGACTCCCCACTGATGCCTGATGCTGGGCTCTATCTCATGACCCTGAGATCATGACCTGAGCCGAGATCAGGAGTCTGACGCTTAACTGACTGAGCCACCCAGGTGCCCCAGCCACTTCCATTTTTATTGGGAGCCTTAATGGTCTCACTTGCCCGTAGCTTGATTGCCTTAAAGTCCTGCATTTTCTTCCAGGCTTTGATTATGAAAAACGGTGCTAATACACACAGCTGGAATAATCTTCATCCCCCTGGCTAGAGCCGTTCATATCCAGAGAGAATTTAACTCACCTTTTCTCTTCAACAAATTGTGTGGATTTTTTTTGTTTTTTGTTTTTTTTTGAGAGAGAGAGAGTGCGAGCATTCGAGCTAGGGAGGGGAGAGGGGCAGAGGGAGAGGGAGAGAGAGAAAATCCCAAACAGGCTCCATGCCCAGTGTGACCCTGAGATCATGACCCGAGCTGAAATCCAGAGCCAGATGCTCAACAGACTGAGCCACCCAGGTGCCCCTACAAATTGGCTTTTTTTTTTTTTTTTTATACCTCCAACTATTCTCTGACCTTTCTTGGCTGCAAGAAATATTCTGGCCCCATGATAATTTTCTAGATAGGCCGGTGGAATACCTCTGCGAAATTATGCTTTCATAAGTAGAATTTAAACTTATGCCCTAACTTTGTACTGAAGATGCCTCCACACCTCCAGTCTCTCCATTATTTAATGTGCTCTGAAAGTTTTTTAGTAGAGTGTAAGCTTAAATTATTATCGCCCATTATACATCTCTGTAAATATATTAGGTGATTAACTCAATAAATGGCTTCATAAGACCTTTGGGTACTTGTCATTGGGTAGACATTTGCAACATTTTCGTGTTAAATGTTTACCACCAGGCACCTGTCCTCACTTTCTCCATAAAGCAAGGGTATCAATCCAGGGGCGTTGGCTAGCATTCGATGTCAGTCATTATATTCTTGCTGTCACCTTATCCTGGCAGGAGTGTTGAGGGGTCTCCAACCATTTTTCTTACCCTCACCCGTGGTGAAATGTCCCCCGTGCTGGAAGCTGTGTTCTATGCACCAGGCTGGGGGACGGCGAGGCTTATCTCCAGAGCTGTGTGGATCTCCTTGGGCGGAGCTGGCTTTGGATGAGCGAAAGGCACTTTAGAAATCTGGAGAGGAATTATTGTTGTGGCGTGCCCCTTTTGGGACATGCCAGCATCTTAAGGTTTCTCATTATTCACCGTGACTCCAACAAAAACCCATAGTTAGAATTATAATTTGTCAATTAAAATTAGAGGGGCTTTCCATTGTGTTTGAATAAAGGATGTGTGAACAGGCAAAAAAAATTGAGTTCCCTTTGATGTGGGTTTCTTTGTGTAGATAAGTTCTCTCGAGGTCTATGAGTCAGGTTCTAGGAATTCTTGCTTGGCTCCACCTTTGACAGAAGAACTGGCAGTGATCAGATGGTACCGGCTGGGCTCCGATCTGTTTCCTTAAAAGGTTGATTCAGTTCAATTTGTATCGAAAGAGCACTGGGGAAGGTATTGTTTCAGAAATGCCTCTGTATTCCGTAAGAACACAACTTCTGATGGCCTTTAATAAGAGCACCTAGATAACATTTGAGTAAAATGGATTGTGTTCTTTTGAAAAGTTGAAACCTGTCCTATCATTGGGTTCATTATTCTACCTGAGTCCACATCTTTTATTCTAGGAAATTCCAGAATGGGATCCCAAATTTGGCTTTGCACCATCCTTAACGTTCTGAGTTACGAATTGTTTCTGATTTGGAGATTTTTTTCCATGGTGATATTTGAAAAGCACATTTCTAAGGGCAGAAATTTTGCTTTTTACTTTCAGGAGGGGGTTGTTCCGTTGCTTTGAGTCTTGGAGGGTTTCCCCCTGTTATTCTAAAATAAGTAGTAAAATCTACTTTCACTTAGAGTTTAGATTGAAGCTATTCAGTCAATTCAGCGCGTCAGTAAGTATTTTGACCAGTAAGTTTTCACTGCTGCACAGAAATAGCCAAGCCAAGAATTCAGTTGAACTGTCTTGATTGGGAGCCCATGTGCACCACTGTCTCTTAGAAGTTGTGCACGTCTGTGAGAGTTGCTCACCTCCACGGCAACAAGAATAAACCTGATTTACCATAAAGCTCATCTGTTTATTTTGTGTTGTTCCCAGGTATGTTGGCGTTTGTGGTCACACGGAATACCCCTGCCGCTTCCAGAATCCTTCCGCTACCACCCAGGAGATTGTTCCTCATCGGGTCTTTGCCCCAGTGTGCCTCCAGGGTGCCTGTCAAGAGACCCTTCTGCGGCTGGTCCCCCCGTGCCTCTCAGCAGCATACTCCATCCTGGGAACACACCCGTTCTCCAGGCTGGACATCCTCATCGTTCCTGCCAACTTCCCGAGTCTGGGGATGGCCAGGTATGTTGTGCCATGGTGGCACTCGGATTACATGCTTTGGAATGACTTCGACGATTTCTTGCTTTTCCTGAACGCTGTCAGAGCTGCCATTTGGTTAGGAGGGTCTGCTTGGACCTCTCATTGCTGCCTTGAGGGAGAGTCTGCGTGTAGATTCCACCACGCGGGAGGCAGCCTTTAGGTGTCATGGGCTCAATCAACTGCCTTGAAAATAAAAAGCTCACGTTGTTGCTCGGATTGAAAACACATTATGCCCCCAGAGTGATGTATGTTGGACTGTGGCTGATGAGTGGCTGGTTAGCTTAGGTGGTGAGAGCACAATGCTAATGAACGCAAGGTCATAGCTCTGGGCAGAGTAACACAACTTAGTTCCAGGGCCACGGGCTGCTCACCTAATCCTGACCAGCTGTCTCATCCATTCTCGACATTGGTCACAAGGGCAACGACTCGAGAGCCCCTGTGTCAGAGAGACTGTGGATGGATCAGTGTAAATCCATCACCGCTGCTGGAAAAACAGCTCAAAGCAGATGGCTTACTGGGGGGGTGGGGAAGTGGGGGGGAGTCACTTGTCTTGCTACTATTTTTAAATATAATAAGTGCATTATTCTTACTGTTTTCTCAGTTTTGTTCTTACGGAAAATCAAGACACGCAAGTTGACCCTTTCCCTCTCTGTTATTTTCATCTAAAACTCGTTCCTTGATGCTATCGTTCATTCAGTAATAGGTACCTGAGTTTCCCTCAGCATTTTACTTGTTATGCACTCTGGATTTTACTTGGTTATATTTCTGTTTGAAAATCTTAATCATTAACAGTGAATATGCTTGACTAAGGATAGGAAGAATAAGCTCATCAAAACACGTGACTTAAGTTTTTCCCTATTAGTCAAGGAAATTCCTGCTGCCAGTTAATTTCCATGCTTTGGAGCAGCTGTTGTTTGTGGTGTTTTCCCTGAAAACTGCATACATTCTGAGTCGAAAAGAACTGACCAGAACATTTGCTTTTGATCTTTACTACATACGTATACTTTTTAAAGCTGGCTAGCTATTCTTAATCCTTGAGGAGGTCTGAGAAAGTCATTTAGGCTGATTTTTTATCCTGTATTTATGAAGATAATAGAAATGTAGAAACTAGGGTAATTGTCTATATTTGGTAACATGCATCAATATTGTTTGGGATGTCTATATATAGAATTTGTCTTAACAGGGGGGCTTCTTCGGTCCCTTTGAAGAGTCTGCTGGACTTAATTTAAGCAGAATTGTTGGCGAAGAAAGGGGTTGTTCATTAAATGTTTCTCATTTGTACCCAGTTTTGAGGGGCTGTATTTATTTGGGAGTCTTTAGCACTTTATGAGAGTTGCAGTTTTTCAGGGCATGTTTGCTAACAGTTCCAAGTTCTGACCTGAGGGAACCAGAGGCAGAGTATTTTTCATACAGAGGACCTCATTTTCTGTAGCTCCTTCCTGACAGCAGTCTGCCAAAACCATAATTTGTTGACCTGCAGGCCATTCTGTGAAGCCTCTCTTTGCAAGTTTGCATGCCCAAGCAGGTAGGCAGTGGGTTTGCTGCTTTTTGAGATATTTAAAGTGACTTAAACATGCTTAACTCTGTATTTTGAAAGTAAGAAGCCTAAGAACCCTAAGGCCAAATGGTACTGGGCACAAATGTCAGAAAATGTGGTGGTGATAATAACTCAGCAGCAACAAGACTGCTTTTATGCTTAAAAACAGAAGAATCATACATTTAAAAATTTGTGGTTGGTTGTCAAATATCATTTTTTCCCCACTTTTTTCTTTCTTTTTAGACAGTGGAAGTAGTCTGCCCTGGTCTAGATGTTTTCCTGAGCTTAGTTAACTGTTTCCTGTATTTGAGATGCAGAGGGAGGATTATGGTATCTTCCACTGCCAGTTGGGGGTGGGGGGGGAGCACTGTGTTTTTCCTAACTGTGGCCTAAATTGATTCCACTTGGCTTGGCTTGACTCTCGCGGGATCCCAACACCTTGAGCCACATGCAACTGAGTGGGGTTTATGACTCAGCTGGCTCCCGGGGCCCTGCTGCCTTATTTATGGTCAGGGTTTTGCTTGGGGCTCTGTAAAAGCAAAGCTGGAACAAAAAATGACAGTCTTGTAGGTCAGCTCTGTACCCTAAACAGGAACAGAGAAATCCCGAGTCTAGTAGGAATTATCCCAAAAGACCTCTGTACTGAAACTTGTCATTGTCTTGTTCATTGTAATGCACTAAAGATCAAAGGATTTCTTGGTAGATTAAATGGTTCTTTGCTGAGTCCACATTTTATAAACATGTATGCGAGATCATAAATTCCATACCTCTGGACTTCTTTAGTGATTAGGTCCTAATCATAATGAATACCATTTTATACCATTGTAGTATTCTTTTTTTGGTGAATGGCATTAAACATTCCCACATGAACTAAAGTGGGTAAATTGTTAGTAACCATTTTGAAGAGTTTTTTAAATTTTTGGATGACATCTGTAAAGATTTCACTGTATTTGAAATATTACATATCATAGTTTGTATGGATAATCTTAAAACTCTCCTCTCTCTTTGGAGCCCGATTCTTCTATTTCAGTAAAGTGGGGAGAAACACACTTGTATAATTTGAATGTATGATAATTACAGATCAGCTTATCAGAAGGTAAATGACACAAAGACAACGTTTTAGAACTTGGAATGCTTTTCCAACATAGCAGTAACTAGACCATCTATCAAGACTGCACATCATGGTTTTTGGTCACCTTTTTTTTAAAGATTTATTTATTTATTTGAGAGAGCGAGAATGAGAGAGAGTACATGAGAGGGGGGAGGGTCAGAGGGAGAAGCAGGCTCCTCGCTGAGCAGGGAGCCCGATGTGGGACTCGATCCCGGGACTCCAGGACCATGACCTGAACCGAAGGCAGTTGCTTAACCAACTGAGCCACCCAGGCGCCCGTTGGTCACCTTTTGTATAAGAGGAACCCCCCGTCCTTTTCTCAGTCACTGTTCCAGGGGAGAGATGCTTTCATTCCGTTCTGATTCTGAGAAAAATCCCTAGTTTGCCTTTAAGACACTACTGACTAGTTGTAGTCCATAATTTTCTCATTCAGTGCGTGTAGGCTTTCTGTTTTTGTTTCATTTTGCTTGTCCTTCCATAGAGGCCGAGTCTGCCATATAAGGAGCTGTGGAGTGTACCTTTCTTGGATTGAGTAATATGGTGTCTAGCCAAAGATATGAATGCATTTTAAGTGAATCTCCAATGTATAGACACATTCTCTTCATGTTGGTATAATTAGCATTCTGCCATTTTCATTGTGTTCTCGTATTTTCTCAGGTGTCTCAGCTAGGGATGGACTAGTAAGCCTCATTTCCCAGATATTGAGAAATACATGAAAGGAGCTCATCATCATGCTTACACTCTTCGTTATAATAATAATAATGTTAATGAAATAATATCCTGGAACCAGATTTATGACAGTTGCTTAAAAATTAACACCTCAGTCTTAACCTCTGTCGGTGTTTATAATAAATGCTTTGCTTCGCCATTTGTCTTTCAGCAGCTCACAATTACATGTCACGGGGCATAATTAGGTTGGCAGAACTACCTTGCTGACATCCAAATACATTCTTTTTTTTTTTTCCTCCTCTATTTGAATTTCAAGAATCTCCTGCAAATCATTTCAGAGCGGTTTTACGTCTAGAGCACCGAATAAAAAAAGCTGTGTTTTCTGTGACTCTACTTCCCTGCTCTACCATTCACAGGTAGCTTCACCCCTGGTTCCACTTGGAAAATTGGAAAAAAAAAAAAAAAGTGGCAGTGTGGTTGACATTAGGTGACAATTCTGCTTTCACTTGTTTTTCCACTGGTTTCGTCCCAGATTGTTTTGTTCGTCTGTACATTGTTTATTTATTCATCTATTCATCCTTCCAGTAAATTTCTATTAAGCACATACTGTATGCCAGGTAGGATTTAAGATGCTGAGTCTACAGGGGTGAACAAGATTGATGCGATCTCTGTCATCACGGAACTTACATTCTAGTCAGGGGAGAGAACTGTGTACTTAAAAACCAGGACTAAGATGTATGCTATAAACAATAAAAACCAACTCAGTGACAGAGTGATCGTTAGGGTCTGAGGTGGGGGGGTGGTGGCAAACTCTTTTTTTTTTTTTTTTTTTAAATTTTATTTATTTATTTGACAGAGAGAGACACAGTGAGAGAGGGAACACAGCAGGGGGAGTGGGAGAGGGAGAAGCAGACTCCCCACTGAGCAGGGAGCCC